AAAAAAAAAATAATAATATATTTGATATGTACCCATAAATTAAAACATATTTCAAAATTTAAGAGGCACCTGACATTGCAACCGACATTGTGCGCATATTTGTGTGGTTTAAGGCCTCTTTCGATAAATCGTCATCTAACCTCATAAATGCATTTGTTATTTCATTCGCCACATTCTCCTTTTTTACACGAGAAATTGTTTGCACATATTCCCGGAAGCTATTTTCGTAAATTGTTTTTATTTCCGATACGAAATCAGCCTGTTAATATTTAGATATATGTATGCATGTTGGGGCTAAAGTTTTGAGACCATATTCTATTGATGATTTACCTTATCATTATGGCATTTTAAAAACGATTGACTGTTATAATCTTTGGACATTACTTCTTTTAGTACTCTTCTATCTAAAACTCCAGCACCAACATAACGCAATAAACGTTTAGAAATCACTTGGGAACAGGCCGGTCCAGCATGGCCATCAAACACCCCACAAATGAAACCTTAGAGGATGAAGCTATTAGTATTTTTATACATATTGATTTAAACGAATTCATCTAAAAATTTGGTTTGTTTAAGGCCTATATGTAGTTACCACTTTTGTGCAAAAATGTAGCCTCAGTCCGCGAATCTTCGCACGGTCTGTTTGAACTCAATTGATTAGACTCATAGCTCCTCACAATACTGTCATCTTCCGAAAACGTCTGTATATACTCATTTTCACGCAAAATCAAATTGACCTGATAAAGTACAAAAAGTAATAAGTAATAATTAATATAATAGTTATTAACAACGTTTAACGTTACATCGTAAGGCGATAGATTCGGCAGCTGCGCCTTTTGTCGAATCGTGATACGAAATTGACGTACCCCACAACCAACATTGGAACAGTTGGTTTGTCGCACGCAGACGACACTGTTACGAAGAAAGATGGTATGCATCTAGTTTATGCTGGTATTTGCCGTTTAACCTTAGAATGTGTAAGGATGTATCGTTTTAAAAAACTCTAGTTTGACCGAGGAATTTTGTAAGTCCTTTAATATGTCTCTGCGAAAATTAAAATAAATAAAAAA